GTCAGAACAGTGTAGTGGACTTCACCGCCACTGACCCACATTTATTAGGGTGTGACGCGAACTTGTGGACAGGTAACAAAAACAATACAGTTGAGGGATATTCCTGTGTTTTACTGTCCAGCGTAAGTCATCTCCTGCCTTTTATTTACAGAGCACCGAGCTGCTGCTTTGCCCAGTGGATTTATGGCTGCGGGCAAAGGACCTAACACATCAGAGTGTTTTAATTTGTTTTATACTGGTGTAATTTGACAGACTGACTGCTGCGGCTGTCGATTTTGTTTATTTCTTGTTTTATTTTTCTGTATCAGTAGGCACCACAGAGATTGATTCTTTTAGTATTTTAACCCCTTTTTATATCTATGTATTGTCGCAGACGGTGAAGGCGCTGCAGGGAAAACAAATCCTTTTTTTGTCTCACCGCTTTTGCATGTACAGCGATGCGCCTGAGTGAAGACGGCACTGAATATTTGCCTTTTTTTATATTGTTTTGCCCATTTGGGGTCATGTGTGAGTTGCCGTCTCTTTTTAACCTGTGTGCTATGTCGATTTCTTCTTAAACGGTTCCCCGCAGCGCTCGCCCTGTCTCACGGGCAATCATACAGTTTTATCGTTTTTAATAAGTTAAAGTTTTTAATTGTTTTTAGGTGCTGCTGTTACACTGTTACTTTTATTTTGTATTAAAAATTAAATTCTTTTTAACTGACTGTGCGCCTACGGCTCTGTCCTATTTTAAATAGGGACCTACCACGGGTCACATTATGAAAACAAAAGTTGAGCCACTGTCTGTCCGTCTGTTGAATCGGACGACACATATTTCACTGACTCACTAACCTGTCACTGAAGTGAAGATAATAAACATCTCAGACTGGAGAGTTTTGACCTTCCTGTCATAACTATGAGCTGCGTGTTTCTTTGACTTTGCCACGATGATGGAGATGAGATGCATCCATCCCTTTTCCATGTGTTTTAGTCAAACCTACAGTGCATTTTATAGATGTTGGATACATCCACTATTTCCCTTATTGAGACCAATGTCAGGCTAAAACGTCTGATATGATTTGGGGTCAATAATGTCTTAACACTTGATAGAGTTGAGTCTGCAGAATGTAAAACCACGAACTGCCAAAGACGTGAAAACAAACAGAGGATTTGCTGCTGACTGCAGGAAATATGCTGTA